GCGCGCAGGGGTGCGGGCCCCCGCTGGGCGCGCAGCGGCACCATGGGCACGGTGCTGTCCCTGTCCCCCAGCTACCGGAAGGCCACGCTATTTGAGGATGGCGCGGCCACGGTGGGCCACTACACGGCCGTGCAGAACAGCAAGAACGCCAAGGACAAGAACCTGAAGCGACACTCCATCATCTCCGTGCTGCCCTGGAAGAGGATCGTGGCGGTGTCGGCCAAGAAGAAGAACTCCAAGAAGGTGCAGCCCAACAGCAGCTACCAGAACAACATCACGCACCTCAACAATGAGAACCTGAAGAAGTCGCTGTCCTGCGCCAACCTGTCCACCTTCGCCCAGCCCCCACCGGCCCAGCCGCCCGCACCCCCGGCCAGCCAGCTGTCTGGCTCCCAGACCGGGGTCTCCTCCTCGGTCAAGAAGGCCCCGCACCCTACTGTCACTTCGGCAGGGACACCCAAACGGGTCATCGTCCAGGCGTCCACCAGCGAGCTGCTGCGCTGCCTGGGCGAGTTTCTCTGCCGCCGGTGCTACCGCCTGAAGCACCTGTCCCCCACGGACCCCGTGCTCTGGCTGCGCAGCGTGGACCGCTCGCTGCTTCTGCAGGGCTGGCAGGACCAGGGCTTCATCACGCCGGCCAACGTGGTCTTCCTCTACATGCTGTGCAGGGATGTTATCTCCTCTGAGGTGGGCTCGGACCACGAGCTGCAGGCCGTCCTGCTGACCTGCCTGTACCTCTCCTACTCCTACATGGGCAACGAGATCTCCTACCCGCTCAAGCCCTTCCTGGTGGAGAGCTGCAAGGAGGCCTTTTGGGACCGTTGCCTCTCTGTCATCAACCTCATGAGCTCCAAGATGCTGCAGATTAATGCCGACCCACACTACTTCACACAGGTGTTCTCCGACCTGAAGAACGAGAGTGGCCAGGAGGACAAGAAGAGGCTGCTGCTCGGGCTCGATCGGTGAGCCCTGGAGTGGCGTCGTGGCTCAAGGATTCAATTCATTTTTAAAAATTTATTATCAAATCAGTTTTGTGTACAATATGTGTCTAGCAAAGCCACCAAGGGCCTCTCCCTTCCCACCTTCTCTCCTTGGGGTTCTTTTCAGCCCTGCAAGAACTCTGGGGACTTCTGAACCACGAATGTTGTACAAACCCAGAAGATGATCCAGAACCGCCCAGGCTGCTGACCTCTCTCTCTCTCGGTGGGGGCTGGCTCCTGCTGCCTCAACCTTCACTGGATCCAGGGGGTGAGGCTGCCCACTGCTGCCCGGCTGGGAGCTGGTGAGGGCCCACTGGCAGGTGGGCCCAGGGAGGACGTGGGATTTCTGGTTGGAAGCCCTTCTCTGGGTGTTTTTGGGTGGGTCTTTCTCTGTGGGTTCCTGGAGCCAGCCACCCTGACAAAGCCTCTAAAGGGGTTGTAATGCAGGATCCCCACTGCCTGGGACATCTTCAGTCAAGGAGAGGTATAGAGGATCTTGTGCCAAGATTGTGACGGTCATTGGACCATGCATGGTCCTGGTTTGCGGTTTTGTTTTCTTTAGGGAGGGCTTTGCTAATGAGAAAGGGAGCTCACCCCTGCCTCTTGACACTTCTCCCAGCTCCCACATTAGTGTTGGCTGGTTTGTCTCATTAGGGTCTCATTTTGGGTTCCAGCTAAAGGAGTGGGGTGAAGCTGGGACAGCTTTTCTGGGCGATTTCTTTTTCATTTGAATAATGCAGCTTAGTCACCCTGTGGTGAAGGCCAGGGCAGCAGCAGATGCCCATTAGCATCAGCCTGCCTTCTGGGCAGGTGGGAGGTGCACGCCTAAGATCAAGCTGGTGCCTACCTGAGTGCTAAGGCCTCTTGCTGGTGCACGACATTTGTCCTACCGAGCTGGGGAGGGGAGATCAGTTATAGGGGTGATGTGGTGGTGGTGATTTCCACTCCTGCCCCTTGTTTCATAGGATTAACACTGTTTCCAAACAGTTCAGTTTTTTTCTGGAGAGGAGGCCCTGTTTCCAAGGCCCAGTGAGACAGCTGGATCTCGGAGACAAAGACAGGAGTGTGACTCCTGATTGCTTTGGAAGCTTGGCGACCCCACAACCGATCGCTTGCAGCTGCTGGTTTTGGTATCCGCCTCACTTGAGCGGCTGTAAAAACACATGATATATATTTGACCGATTTTCTTTCTAATTCTCCCGGACTGGTGGCTTGGGGCTTGGGAGAGGTCCAAAAGATGGGAACAAGTCTTCCTGCATGGCTCCCACTCCTGCTTTGGGGAACAAAGAGCAATGTGAAGATGCCACAGAGGATTCTCTCTTCCAGTCCCCAGGAGCGCTGGAATTGGGGGCTAGGGTCCGGGAGGCAGGAGTCATTTTTTATAGGATTAGGTTCTAGGGGGAAGCTGACTTCTGCACAAGCACTACTGAAATTCACATTAAAAAAAAAAAAAAAAAGCTGTGAAATTGAAGTCCTGATTTAAGAGGCAGAGCTTTTAGCCGGAGGTATTCCTGGAGACTGGGGAAGGGGTCTGCTGGGGCCAGAGAGCCTCTCCCTGGCCGCTCCTGAGGGCCAGGCTGAGCCGTCCTGGGACCATCAGATCACTGGATGCGGAGCTGGAAGGCACCTGCGGCTGCTGGCACAGACTACACCTCAGCCTCTCTGCTGGATTCCATGCTGCTTGTCCTCAGATCCTGCTGCCACGTGCGATCTGAAGTAGGAGGCCTGTGGGGTCCCTCGAGGTATGGAAGAGGCCCTTCAGGTGCCCAGACTCCACAGGAGGGCACACGCTTGTGGTTTGGTCTATTCAGCTGGCTAACCTTCCTGGAACCATGCCGATGCCACAGGATTCCGGTTTTGTGTCTGTTTCCTTCTCTCTGTATTTATTATTATTATTTTTATGTTTTGGAGGAGGTGCACATTTCAGGATTGGTTAAGGACCAGAAACAATCTAGTTCCATCAATGTGAAGCCTGTGTGTTCTCTCTCCCCTGGCACCATTCATCAGTATTGTGTAAAGGAACCGCTAATATACTTGAGTGTGCAGACTGAGTGTGCAAGTAATGAACCCATTTGACATGCTGCTATGAAGACTACTTTTAGAACAACAACAAAAAAAACTAACCTACAAAAAAAAACTTTATTCTTTAATTGTTGCTTTTACAGTGATATTGTGCATGCAAACCAGGAGCATTTTGTGTCTTAAGAAAAATAATCTTAGAACAGATGGCTGTGAAAATTATACCCATGCACAGAACAAGCCACAGGAATAATAGTTCAGGATTTGATTTTTCTTTTTCTTGTAAACCTGAAGGGTTGGTATATTCTTTCCAGGCAGTTATTAGAATTTAGTTTTGTTCCAACAGTTGTTAAACCTGCAATGAAAAGAAAATGTGCCATTTTTTTCTCTTGGGATTATTCATAGCTGTATATTTGAAACTGCTAATTACACACTTGTGATGTATGTTGGTTTTTTAGTGCAATTTCTTCTGTAGCTATTCTTTGACCAAACTGTGGGTATTGTTAATATTAATTTATATTTTTCTCATTTTGTATGTATGTATAGTGTGTTTGTGAGTATGTGTGGTTTATAATCTGACAAGGTCACGAAGCTCAGTTTGGTTGTAATTTAATTCCCCTTCCCTTATTTTTATTTATTTTTGTACTGTGCTGATTCAATAAAATGCACTGACCACCTATTACCTGGGCCTCTTTTTGTGGGCCCATTGTTTGTGAACAGGACGGGAGCAATGTTAATACGTGATTCATGCACTTGGAACAAAATTGGGTTTGTGTTATGAGGGGTGGAGCCGGGGGAAAGAGCTGAACACGCTAAGGTGATTAAAGCAGCACAAGTTGGCTTTGGTTTGGTGGCAGGGGCAGGGATTCCCCAAAAGCTTCCTTGTGGAGGTAGATGACTGGCATCTGAGGTGCCAAAGAGGGTCAGGCTCCCACGTGGCTTGGCCGTGTGGGTCCTGGCCTTAGACCCAAGGCTGGGACTAAGGCCGTCCTGTCAGCTCCAGAAGTCCACCTGCAGAGGAGCCTCAGCCTAGGGAGAGGGAGCGGGAAGTGGCCCTCCCCAGGAGCTGTCAGCTGGGCTGGGGTCCTGCTTTCTCGTCTCCCCTCTCCTTCCACTTCCCACTCCAACCGGCACCCTGCGTAGAGTCTGCTCTGTCCTCTTCACTGCTGCCAGAGGAACCTGAGCTGCCCTTCATCATGCACTTCTGATGTGAAGGTCATGTTCTCTGATGCCGAGCAGTGGGCTTCTACAGAGGGCGCAGGCTTCAACGTGGCAGAAGTGCTTGGCTGTAACTCCACTGCCTTCTCGTTTCCTTCCCACAGTGTTCTTGCTATGTAATATTTTGGTTCATAAAGCCTCAGGCAAATTATCCTCCATTTTACATTATCTGTGCTTAATTCTCCTTTCTATCCACTGGTATAGACAGCTGACTTTAAGCTACGATTTCACAATTAAAATTTAACAACAGATAAGCAGAACACCTTTAAAAATGAGATTTAATGCTTTATTGCTCTTGATGGTAAATCAAAATATGCTTTGGAAATAAAGTTAATTTAATGGAGAACAGGAATATATGCACCAAACCATAAAACTGCATTTAAACAAGAGAAACCACTTCATTGCATACGATCTCTGTCCCTTCCATCTTCCAACGCCCCTGATGCATTAACCGCGATCAAGCACACGCTAACTCCAAGATCTTCTTCATTGCCACACACTGTGACTGCTTTGAGTGCGCCATAAAAAAGTGCTTGTGGACAGCCAGCAGCCCTGTGGCCTTGGCGAAGGTCCTGGCACTGGTCTGTGGGGCCACAGTCCACATCAAAAGGTGGATGGGAGGAGTCCAAACTCTTTCCTCTTCAGCCTCTGACAGGCAGCTCATTTGGCATATCTGTTTTGGTGTGTTTAAAACATCTGCATGTGTCTAGTGTAAAGCGAGTCTGGGGAACAGGTGGAAAGGAGAGCTGAAGTTCCAGTCAGATGGCTCCACTAGTGCTCCTGGCAATTGGCAAAACTGTGAGTGTCGCCAGGCTGGGTGTGGGCATCTCTCACTGTGCAGGCAGCTGACCAGGCTTGGGGATGGAAGGGGTCCCAAGGGCAGGACGCCAACAGGACTTTTTGCAAATTGCACATAGTACCAAGCCCTGGGAAGGAAGGACATGAGACCAGGCTGCTGGGACCACTGTGATCAGCCAGGTGACCACATTAGGCCCTGGGCAAGGCACAGGAGGTGACACACAGGCACTTGTGAGTTCTGCTGGGTCAGGGAGGAAGGATCAGGGCAAAGGGCAGTGTTTGTGGCAGAAAGCAAAGAAAACTTCAGTCTGTCCCTTTTATACCCTGCCAGCTCCTCCTGAGGTGTGGGCTCCCCTCACCCCTTACAACATGGAGTGCCTCCTCCAAGATTCTCTTTCCAAGGCTCCCTGCTGAAAGGCCTGGATGCTCACAGGCCACAGCCTCCTCAGTGTCTGGGGCCAGGGAGGAGGTCTCAGGAGGACCTCTGAAGCACAGGCACTTCTGCGGGCAGAGCTGACGAGACAGCAGCTCTCCTGGAAGGAGTCCACGGGCGCCAGGCTCCAGCAGGGGTTTGTCCGTGGCACGGGAGGATGCCCTGGCCTGGCCTGCAGTGCCAGGACCCCACACTGTTTTCTGCTGCTTCGCCTCCTGTGGTTCCTCTATGCTTTGACCCCCCACTGAGGTCCTAGCTCTCCCAGGGACTAGGAAACCCATCTGAGGCATTGAAGAAGGAAAGCTGGCAATCCCAAGCACTCTCCTGCGTTTTCTTACTAAGCAGTAGACAGATACAACCTGCGCACTACAGAAAGGAGTGAGGCAACTGCAGACGCAGGCTGTGGGCTGAGATGGTCCCGGAACATCCTCACACTGCCTTTTGCGAGGTGGTGAGAAGGCCTGGGCCGGGCCCCTGGTGGTGAGGGGAGTCTCCCAGGGGCAGGCTCTGGGAACGATGGACCCCTGCTGGGCGTGGTGCTACAGGTGGACCTGCTCACCTGGTGGCTTTGGCTGGCTGCTGGGGTTTTGGGGGGTCTGTGTGGGAGCTCTGAGCCAGGTCCTGAGGGTAATCACCTCGGGGGACAAGGGAGCAGGGCTTTGCCCCCAAGTCACAGCCACCAGATCTCCCCAGCCGCCTGGGGAGCACGTCTTCGGCTGGAGAGACGGTATCCTGGGCTCTCTTCCCTGTCCCTTTTCTGGGGTCAGTAGCTGGTCGTTGTCCGAAGGACAGCTGACATGACCTGCTGCCCAAGGGACGCGTGTGAGGACTAAAGGCACGTCCAGCTGCCTCCAAGGTGAGATGGAGGCTGGATGCTGACCCGGGGGTCTGGGGCAGGGCTCCAGGGTCTTTGGTTTATTGAACAGGGACTGCAGAAAGCTGAGATGGCAGAAGAAGATGGAGACCAATGAAGAAAGTCAGGAAGACCACCTTGAGGGGAGGGGCCTCAGGAAGCAGCAGAGGGGCCCCTCCTGGCGGGGAGCTTGCAAGCTGATTTCGAGCGGCATTAGAAGGGATGCAGCAATTAGGCTGGAACCTAGGATGCTGAGGAGTTGAGCGTCCTGGCCCAGCCTCCTGTCCTGGCCCATCTCCTGCGGAGGGGTCAGTTGCCCGGCACACTGAGAATGAAGCCCGAGCGGTTCTTGGTGAAGTCGGGCTCAGGTTGGTTGAGCCGCGTCTCCACGGAGACAGTGCATTTCTTCCCATGAAGGCTGCACTGCACAGGGTTGGTGACGTTCACTTGAAGGTGGCGCTTCTCACTGCAAGAACCGATAAGAGAGATCAGGCAGGCGGGCAGTGGGAGGTTTAGAACGAGGTTTGTCCCTGGAAGTCCCCGGAGCTCTGCATTTGCCAGGCCCCAGCTGGAGCTGGGTGGCAGATGTGCTGGAGCCTCAGCACCGTATCCGTGGCACAGGCTGGGGACTGAATCACTTGGGCCTTAGGTGTCTCCAGGGCAGGCTTCTGACCCGTGACTCTCCGCTATGGGGATTGTGACAGGGACCCCCGCTGCCGCAGGATATCTCCTAGGAGTCCATGCTGCTGGCCCTGTGCCCTGCAGTCCAGCTGCTAGAAGTGGGTCTGGGTTGAAAGCTGGTCCCACCCTGGGGCTGGATGGTGATGTGCCTTTGCTGATGATCACCATCGTCAGGGGGCTGTTGGGGGTCAGGTCAGTGGCGTTCCTGTGTCTTGTCTTCAAGACTGGTATGGAAGGAACTCAGGTTCTCCCATGGCACTGCACTGCCTGCTGTACAAATAGGGCCCTTTCCTCCAGCTCTTCATAATACAGGACTACACTTAAGGACCAGCTGCTTACATTTCATTTATTATTTTTATTTTTTGTTGTATGGAGATAGGGTCTTGCTATATATACCAGGATGGACTTGAACTCACAGCCTCTTGCGTGCTAGGGTACAGGTGTATGCCAGCTGCTTATTTCAAAAGCCAAGAAAGTTGTCAGAATAGGCTGGCACCTAATGCTGCACACTTGTGCCAGCACAGTCCCACGTTGCCCCTTGGCTCAGAGCCGGGAGGGGCATGCTGGTCAGGGAGCCTCGGGTCAGAGAGGCTTTCTGCCCAAAGCTCCCGGAATCCTTTCGTTGCTCAGGGTGGCGTGCAGGGTGCGGACAGGCTGGACCCAGGACTGAGGTTTCTCCTTGCACTGAACAGCGAGTGCCAAGCTGTCCACACTGCAGTGAGAAGACTGGGGCCGAGGCCAGCATGCGCTGAGCATCTGCCCTGTAGGACTGGGTCCCCTCGGCCCTGAGGACGTGAGACACTTCCTCCACATGGCTGGCTGGGGCGCTCGGCTTCGCTTGGATGCCGAGGCAGCCGACCAGCTCCCGCGGGCCTGATGTGCCAAGCTTCTGGAGTTCCCTGTGGGTGCATCCCAAGAAGGCCCCAAAGTTTGGTGAGCAACTTTAGGTGCTCTCAGGGGCTTTCCCGGACACTTCCTACCTGCTCTCTCAGAGCCCATGATGTAGAGGCAGAAAATGGACACAGGAAGAGGAAGAAGATGGTGGTTATCACTTGTGAGCATTAGGTATCTGATACTTAATATCTTGTCAGCTGCAGCTAAAAGCTTGGCTTAGACAGTTATTTTTAACCAGACTTGCACGTAAAAATAGCAGAGCCCATCAGAGGCAATGACTCAGGCCTCTTCCATCCTGTGGGTTTCAGAGCTGCTTTGCAGGTAGATGCACAGCCCTTGGCTGCCACGGTCACCGTGTGGGTCCACGGTGGCCCTTGGGCTGGCCCAGAGCAGGCAAAGCTCCAGTTCTGTGGGCTTACTGCAGCTGGGGTGCCTCCAGGACCAGGCTGGCTCCCAATTCTCCCTTTGTCAACCAGAATGGCTTCTGGGTGCCTGGCGCAACCTTCCTCCTGAGCTGGCAGAGGCCTCGCCTTGCTCTCTCCTCCGGGTGGTGGGCAAGTTCCCTTCCTTAGCTCAGTGCTGGGAGCTAGGGTGAGGCCTGGCAAAGGAACATGCACACAGTGGGTCTAGGGTCTCCTAGTGACTCAAAGTCTCAGGGAATGGGTTCTAACCAGGTCATATTCCAGGTCAGCGCGCGTGCGCATACACACACACACACACACACACACACACACACACACACACACACGGAAGTCAGCACTACCCAGAGTTCTGGCTCCTCCCAGTAGCAGACCCTCCTGCTGGC